GCTTCAGGGCTGTTGCTGATAAACATTGAATACGAGAAGTCGTCGTGTCCCGTCCCGCCCCTCCCCTCCCTCCCTCCTTCCTCTTTGTTATTTTTAATTAGGAAAATAAACGAACCCGACACCACCCCCAGCCCTCCCCCGGCTGCAGGTCCCGCCTCACCGGGAATTCCCTGTGATTCCCTGTGGGACAGTGGGAAGTGACCTGGGAAGGGCTCCTGGACCGGCCCTGTCCCTCAGCTCCAGCAAAGGAGTCTGCCAGCACCCAGCCTCCTGCCGTCACCCCCAGCCCCGTGAGGTGCTGCTTCGAGGCTCCATCGCCCTTGGGATAGGCAGATACTTGGACTGGGAAGGAGATCCCCATGCCCCCTCCCAGCAGCCCTGCACCAGCCCCCTCACCCCCACCAGCGCTGTCATCATCCTCCCAGAGCTCTCTGTGTTTCCAGCCAGCAGGCCGGGGTCCATACAACCCACTTGGGGTTTCTCATGGTTTTTTCTGGTGGCTTTATTCCTTTCAGGGAGATCGATGGTTGCTCAACATTTTCTGCTGTTGCAGGTCAATCCAGGCTTACACTGAGCAGGCAATAAAACATTTGAGGAGCAGCAGCTGCGAGGTGTCTGTCCGCCTCTCCCCCTCTTTAACCTTAATCCAGGAATAGGCCAGCCCTTTCCTCCTTACCACAGCTTCATCCTTGCTCGAGGTGATGCTGGGCTGCCCTCCCTGGCTGCAGGGCCACCACCATGAGGGCACGATGGCAGCACGGCCAGGCAAGTGCTATTCCAGAACTGATGAGGAAAGAAACGAAGCTGCTGGCAGACCCCACTGCCATGTCTCTCATCCTCGCTGGCAGTCATTCTATCCCATCCCCGGTACGAGGGCTCTGGCAGCACCATCCATCAGCACCAGCTGCCCACACTGTCCACCCTGGCAACGGCAGAACAGGGAGGGGAGAGACTTGGGTTTGACAGGGCCAAACCTGCTTCTACCTGTGGGTCATTGCGTGTCCAGCAGCCAGTTCTCAGGCTGCCAACTCTCTGCTGTGACCAGGAGAGATCTGCCATCATGGGAGGCCTGGCAGTGCAGTTCTGGTTTGGTAGGAATGCTATGGCAGGAGTGCAGAAGAAAAGGACCCAGAAACACCTGACTCACCCACAGCTGTGGGTCAGGCCTGCCCCTGAGCAGGAGCCAGGGCCAGTGGGGAAGAGCTATCTAACCCGCAGGGCCAGGGCTCAGCAGCCAAGTGTTTCCCGAGAGCACATCCCTGGCAGTGCCATAGCTCTGCATGGACCCTGGCAAGCAGCAGAAAACAAACTGCTGCTCGTACCCCGTGGCTGCTTCCCCGGGCTCGGCTGCCAGCTCCCGCGTGCCAGCGCGGCTCGAGCGGGGCCGGGGCTCCCCGGCGGGGAGGGCTCCGGTGGTACCACCCCTGCGCCTGTTCTGCCGAGGGGCATCCCTGGTCAACGCCAAGTTCAGGTGACCAAGGGTCCGGGACGGGCATGAGTGAGGATAGGCTCTTGCCTGGTGCTCTGATAAGAAAGAGGAGACATTTAACACCCTCCCCCGGGAGTGCTTTCTCCTTCGCCTTTCCTCCTGCTGTGGCTTAATTTCGTCTTTAGCCCCCTTCTTCCCTAAGTGAGATCAAAGGAATCCATGGCACCGGGCATATTTCATCGGAAACGTCGATTAAAGGGAGTGGGGGAGGCGGCGCTGGCGGAATCAGAAGAGGAGGAGGAGGAGCAGGAGGAGAAAGAGGAGGAGCAGGAACAGGAGAAGGAGCAAAAGAAGGAGGAGAAGCGAGGTTGGAGGGAGCACCTGGCTTCATGCGGTGTCCTGGCAGGATGGGCCGGGCCGGGCGGCGTTGGCGATACCGGGGCTTGGGCGGCGGCGCTGCGGGGGCCGGTGGCTCCTCCGGCCGTGGCTCCTCCGGCCGTGGCTCCTCCGGCCGT